AGGATGCAGTGATACTTAGGATGCAGCGGTACTCAGGATGCAGCGGTACTCAGGATGCAGTGATACCTAGTATGCAGCTGTACTCAGGATGCAGTGATACCTAGTATGCAGCTGTACTCAGGATGCAGTAATACTCAGGATGCAGTGATACTCAGGATGCAGTAGTACTCAGGATGCAGTGATACTAAGGATGCAGTGATACTCAGGATGCAGTGGTACTAAGGATGCAGTGGTACTAAGGATGCAGCGATACTTAGGATGCAGCGATACTTAGGATGCAGTGATACTCAGGGTGCAGTGGTACTAAGGATGCAGTGATCCAGTGGTACATTGAAGAAATCTTCCACTTTGTACGACTTAAATAATGGCATATTTATCAAAAATTAGATTGCGGTTTAAACATTACAAGTAGAGCTAGAAACAGTTAAAATCCCAATAGGAGGCCTGTTTCCAGACACCAACTCATTTCTTCAGGCTAAGAATTAAATTGTAAAGACTGTTAAAATAATTACAATTATCCATCAATCCAGTCAGCTTTAGGCTTTAGAATGCTGTTACACCTCTTTAGTTGAAGACTTCGTGTCTCAATTTTAGGAGGATTTGGACCCAGGAATGAAGATTCGACACAAACGGTTTGAAGAGTAACTGAAACTTTTCTGTTTTGTGACCCATCCTTTTTGTTTTCTATTTGCAGACACAAGGAGTAAAAACACAGGATTTCACATTTGAAGCTTTTAAGAAATTTGTCCAGAATGTGAGTCGAAGGCCTGAATTAGATAAGATCTTTGAAGAATGGTAGGTGACATAAATCATTGCAATTTCTTGAATATTTCAAATGTCATTTTTACTACAATATGTACAAATATATCCATATTAGAGGGATGCTGTAGCTGTGGTTTGATGATTGCAACTCGCTCACACTTGATAAACCTTTGTCACTTTGCTTCAGCGGCTCCAAGGGGAAGCCCTTTATCTCTTTGAACCAGTTCATGGAGTTCATCAACAACAAGCAGCGAGACCCCAGGCTGAACGAGGTTCTGTACCCGCCGCTGAAGAAAGACCAAGTTCGACAGATCATTGGGAAATATGAGACAGATGCCAGCCGGCTGGATAGAGGTGAGCAATGTCAAATTGGCAAAAAACAAATCAGAGTAGAAGATTTGGAAGTATGTCTTGCTGTATATTGTCACAGAAATGATGCCATGTTATTTATGCTGCAAAGCATTCTGGGTGAATGACATTTACAAGCTGGTCTGGTGCAAGCTCTATCCATCTTGAATGTTAATTTTGGACAATGTCTGATGTTCAGCCCTTTTTAAATGAAGTATATAGAATTGGCTCTAGAGCTAATGTATCCATAACTCTATATAGCATTAGCTCCAGAGATAATATATACATGTCGATTTGTGGTGTTTACTCTAGAGCTAATATACATTAAACATAGCTATATATAGCATTAGCTCTAGAGCTAATATGTACATGGCTACTGTATATGTAACATTAGCTCTAGAGCTAATACATACATGTCTATATATAGCANCTATATATAGCATTAGCTCTAGAGCTAATATGTACATGGCTACTGTATATGTAACATTAGCTCTAGAGCTAATACATACATGTCTATATATAGCATTAGCTCTAGAGCTAATATGTACGTAGCTTTATATAACATTAGCTCTAGAGCTAATAAATACATGGCTATACATAGCATTAGCTCTAGAGCTAATATATACTGTACATGGCTACTGTATATGTAACATTAGCTCTAGAGCTAATATATACATGTCTATATATAGCATTAGCTCTAGAGCTAATATATACAGTACATAGCTATATATAGCATTATCTCTAGAGCTAATATGTTCGTAGCTTTATATAGCA